ATGGATCTGTGTGTGTGTGTGTGTGTGTGTTTTAATCAATTTCATTAGTTTTCTTTAGTTTTCTTGATTCGTCTGTAAAATGTCACAAAACAGTGAAAAAAGTTTTTTGTCCTCAAACAAACATAAAATAAAACTTCATTGATCAATCAGTCAGCAGCTCTCGTTGGATGTGAAACGTTTCTGTCTTCAGATTAGAGAGCGTCGTCCTGCTGGTTCTCCTCTGAAGGCCTGAAGGCCTTTACAAACCGTCATTGTTTCTGTTGACAAAGACCAGATCCTGGATCCTCCAGGACCTGGAGGGTCCAGATCCTCCGTCCTCGGAGTCAGATCTAATAAATCCGTAACAATCTCTGACATATTTTGATGTTTTAAAAAAAGTAACACAAACGTAAACAAAGCGTTTTTCGAGCGACGTGACGTCTCTCAGCTTCCAGAGCTGAAGAAGAACAGATGTTGAACATCAGTAACATCTGCAGGCGTCTGATACCAGACAGGTCATAGCAACATGCAGAACGTTGTGTTCTAGTAACCAATATAATCATAAACACATTATAAGTAGATATGAATCGTGTCCCGTTGCTTCAAAAGAATAACTTTAATTTAGGTTCATGTTGTACAAACTGAGCATGCAGGCGTGTTATTTATCACCAGCGGCCATCTTTGTTTGAGTCGGGATCAGGACACTAAAACGAGAAGTAATCGACTGTTGATGAGTTTCCTGGTTTATACGCGTAAACAACCATGTGACGTCATCAGTGATGTAACGTGTGTGACGTTAACGGCATGATGTCATCTCCTTTTTCCCACAGGGAGGAGGGGGAGGAGGGAGCTGCCGGCCCCCGGCCCCCCTCCAGAGAGACAGACGGGTCCCACAGTAAGACCAAGAAGGCCCACAGGGAGCGTCGCCATGCCGACCGGGGGGCGGAGACCACAGCTGTGCTGCAGACGGGGGCGGAGCCACAGACCCAGGTAAGTCTGCAGGAGTGTTGCAACAACAGGAGGTCAAGAGGTCAGCTATCACTAAACAATGTGATCCAGTTTGATAAACTGGTTCCGTGTCGTTTCCGTCCTGCAGGCCTCAGAGCCGGTGGCGGGCCCCTCAGATCCGGGGTCGGAGGCCGTCAGTGAGTCTGCAGGTTCTCCGAGGCAGCGGCGCTCCGTTATACGGGACCGCGGGCCGCTGTACGATGACCCGTCACTGCCTGAAGGCTGGACCCGCAAACTCAAACAGAGGAAGTCCGGACGCTCGGCGGGCAAGTTTGACGTCTACCTGATCAAGTAAAACCAAAACCCACCTTTGTCTTTGTGCCGGTTCTTCGTGATCCGATGATGTCAACTGTTGTTACAGACGACGTGTTGTCGGTTCCGTTCTTTCAGCTCTGAGGGAAAAGCGTTTCGTTCCAAGGTCGAACTTATCGCTTACTTCCAGAAGGTCGGCGATACGACCACCGACCCCAACGATTTTGATTTCACCGTCACCGGACGTGGAAGCCCCTCCCGCCGCGAGAAGCGTCCCCCCAAGAAAGCCAAGGTGGTGAAACCATCGGGACGAGGCCGGGGGAGGCCCAAAGGTACTAACTTACTTAAAACATGATGTAACAGAAGGTATTTAATTGAAGTTATCGGTTAGCAGAGTTCATACAGCGTCTCTCGTTTCCTAGGCAGTGGGAAGGTGCGGCAGGCTACGGAGGGCGTGGCCATGAAACGTGTGGTGGAGAAAACTCCGGGCAAACTGCTGGTCAAGATGCCCTTCAGTAAGGCAGAATCTTCCACTGCCTCAAAGGTACGATCGGTCGGTCATCCGGGATCAATACATTCATCAGAGATTTAGTTTCAGGATCACAACAATACTCTGAAAGTACTTTACCCGAGCAACTTCCTCCAATTTACTGAGAACTACAGCTTTCAAATAGCAAAACAAATCTCAATGTGAAAGAGTTCCGACCTCTCAGAAAAAATTAGCTTTGACAAAGACAGAGCGGGTGTTTGACCTGAGGATGAGAACCCGGCTTATAGGCCTGAGGTTACACCCCCACGTGGGGTCCCACTGCTCTTTGTTGACGCCCAGAAGAATCCCGAACACAGCAAAATAAGAAGAGCAGAGAAAATCTAGGCAGGAAAGTGTTGCAGAATATATCTTTTAAATGTCAATAAGTTCTAATACCATTTAAAAGATCATCTTAAAGCTTAAGACGTACAATAAGTGTATTCAACATTGGTATTCAAGAGAACAACTAGTCACCAGGAGTCATGAGTGCATCTCCTTTAAACAAGCATCTAAGAGCATAAACCAGAGCAAACGTATAGAAACAAACTACTACGAATACAATAAGTTGTGGTGGAGGGTCCTTCAATGTTTGCTTCTCATTCAAAGACCTTTACCTCCCACATAGAGCTGGGCGACAGGAACAGGAAGAGGCTGTCTGAACTGAACCTGAGCAGAGTTTTATCTATAACGAACACTGAATGAACTGTTTGAGTGTACCTGGTACCAGAAACCCTTATTGATGATCAACTTCAGAGAAAGAAGCAGAGTTACCAACTGATAAGCACCTGGTAGTCAGTTAATAAAAAATCCTAACTTGTAGTGAGAGTGAACTGGCTGAGGAGTCTTCAACTTCCACCTTTAGAAGGAGTTTCATTGTCTCCCATGGGAGGGTGTGGATGTGGAATCTGTGTGGACCTTCAGGTGCTCAGAGTTGTGGCCTGAAAGTCATTGGTGCCAGTTGAGGTTCCAACCAAAGAACCAGCCGGTGCAGACCGAACAAAGAAAAGGGTCTTGAGGGGTTAATTAGAGAACTGGGCCTGAGAAAGGTTCCAGCAAAGGACTCGGGAAAGAGAGACGTGACTTTAGACAAACTGCTCGTCATGACTGGGGAAACCTTCAGTTGATGGAAGGAACGTCTTTATAAACTCCTGATTTTACCAGCAGTTTATTCTTGAAGGATACCGGAGGGGTTCCGGGAGTTTGTGTTTTGTAGAGAACACCTTGGACCTTGTTGCAGTACATAATCCAATATGTTATTATTCTTCATTTTTTCAAATGCAGTAACAATGTTGATGCTTATGCTACTTGTTGATGTAATTCCCTACAGGTGGTGTCTCCAGCCTCGGTGCCCAAGTCCCGTCCCGGCAGGAAGAGGAAATCGGAACAGGAACTTCCGGCTCCACCACAGACCACCCCCAAGAAACGGGGCAGGAAACCAGCTTCTGCCACAGCGGCATCATCAGTTGCCGCACCATCCGCCCCCACGGCATCAACCTCAACAGCCGGGAACTATGGTCCAGCGGCAATTTTGGCTGCAGAGGCCAAACGGAGAGCAGCCAAGGAGTCTTCCACCAAACTCGTCGTCCAGGAAACAGCCCTGCCAATCAAGAAGCGTAAAACGAGAGAGACAGTAGAGGAGGTGGAAGTTGTTCAGACTCCAACCACTACGACAACAGAGACTGAAAGGGTCGCTCTAGAGGGGGAGCCAGGTAAAGGGGAGGGAGCTCCAACCCCAGAACCTCAGCCCGCCCCCTCTGAGCAGAGCCAATCACAATCACAGAAGCAGCCCACTGCTTCAGAGGAAAGCCAACCACACGGACACAAGATGCATAAAGGGAGGAAGCACAAGGAGAAAACGGGAATAGCAGCAGGAGAAGGAAGAAGCAGAGGAGAGGAAGTAGATGAAGACGTCGGTGATAAGGGAGGAGGAGGAAGAAGTAGCAGCAGCAGCAGTAGCATCAGCCCATCAAAAAGCCACAAAAGGAAGGACCGGCCGCCTCACAAACACCACCATCATCACCACCACCACCACCATCATCATCGCCACCAACATTCCTCTGCCTCTACGTTGGATCAGCCTCCTCCTCCCCCTCCAGCCTCCGGACACTCAGCACCCTCCAGCCAGTCCGGGCCTGAAGCCAAGCCCCAGACTGTGCCTCAGCTCACCACCCAACAATTGCAGCACACCCAGCAAGCTCCTCCAAGACCACAATCAAAATCTGCCCCTCAGACCTCGCCTGAACCTCGCCATCCTCCCCCGCAACCTCGGCACCAACCACAACCCCGTTCCCAGCAGCATCCCCAGACTCAGTCTCCCAGTCAGCCCCAAGCCCAGCCTCAGTACCCAGCACCCCAGCCCTCTCCTACCAGGCATGTCTTGCCCCAACCAAGGTCCCAACCACCACCCCAAACCCACAGTCAGACCCAGGCCTCCCCTCAGAAAGCCCGGTCACAGCTTGCTCCACCTCAGTCGCACCCTTCTCAGTCCCCATCCATCCTGCACATTCATCCGCCCCAAACAAGGCATCTACAAACCCAGTCTCCAACAGTACTTCAACCTCAATCCCAGCCCACAACCCCAGCACGAACTGCGCCACAACCCCAGTCCAGGACCCCAGCCCAAACGCCAGCTCAATCCCAGTCCAGGACCCCAGCCCAAACTCAAGCTCAATCCCAGTCCAGGACCCTGGCCCAAACTCCACCTCACCTCCAACCCCTGACAAGACACCCATTGCAACACCAACTTCAGACTCAATACAGATCACAACCCAGACAGTCTCTCTCCCAGCCTAGGCCACCCCAGTCCCAAGCACAACCACACGTTCAGCGAATTCAAACACAGCCACGCCCCCAGCCCCACCCTCAGCTCAACAGGCCCCATGTGCAGCACCTCTCATCCCCCCGACCATCTCCCAGCCTAACCAGGACCAACCTGGGCCCGGCTCCACAGAACCAGAGTGAACAGCCCCAAGATCTGAGCACCACGCGGGCCGGCCGAGGAAGCCTGCTGCAGAGCCGAGAGGTCGGTGTAGAAGGCCTTGGAGCGGAGGGGAGACGGGAGCCGGCCGTGGCCTTGGAAAGCAGAGAGGTTTCAGGAGGAGAAAGAGGGTCAAACAGCACCTTGAGGCCTCCCAGCTCCACGCCCTCTGGACCTCCAGGAGTAGCTGGTGTCGGTCTGCTTCCCGTGACAGACGGTAGGGCGAGGCTCCGGGGGCAGGAGCCAGAGGCAGCGGAGCTCAGAGACATCGTCCCCCAGTCCGCCGTCCCCTGTCCCAGCCGAGAGGAGACCGTAGAGTCTCGGACTGCCGTCAGCGAAAGAGTCAGCTGATCGGTTGGGCCGACTGACCGGTCGCCTGACGGACTGAGTCCATCACCGGGTAGAAGAGGAGCGTGACTTCATGGAGGTGAAATGATTTTACACTGTTTTCAGATAAGAAGGATAACGTCTCTCACAGCTGTAGGACTGTCGCAGCTTCTACTTCGTCTGATGGTGTCTGGAGACTGAAGTTCTGGATCTGGAGGGGAGGACGGATCGTGTCTTTTTATAGGAAAAACAAAGAGGAAAAAAGTGTGTGTGTATATATAATCAAAAGGCAGCTGTTGTGTCCCGCTAGTCTCCGAGGGGAGGGGGGAGTTAGTTTGGAACTAAAAACGCTTAACGACACATTACTCTGAACGAAACCTTGCTTCCGAAATATAAACCCCTTTTTTTTGTTTTTGTTTTCCGTATTTTGATAGTTTATTGTTTTGTCTCTGTTTTACAGCTTTAAACTCTGATATTATTGACTGATGGTCCTTCACTCATCACGTGCTGCTGAATGACTGTCCCTCATTTAAAGTCCTGTCTCACTCACAGGTTCACACCGGATACAACATTAATACAGAGGAGCTGAGCGGTCTGACTGACAGACAGACAGACAGACACAGCCGGAACGACAGATAGACCAATAGACAGATTATCTCTATATCTAACTTTCTGTCTCACTGTTTCTGTACCCTGTGAACCCGTCTGAGAGACTCGTCCTCCTGGCTGAACCTAGTCCTGGATCAGAAGCCTCAGAGGTGATGTGGGGCGGTGGTTTGCACCTTAAACTGGTTCCTTACAGACCTTCCCATGAACAAAAGATGGAGATCTGTAAGGGTTCCATCTTCTTCCAGACTGACCTCCCTACAGGTAGCGGATGTCTGAGGACTCGCATCCATCACCTCGCTCTGAAGTCTTTGGAAACCTTTTTGAATATCGTTTGAAATATCTGAACAACTTGGAGGAACCTTTTAGTTTCTTCAAGTGTTTCAGACGCAGCGAGTTGTTCTTCCAGTTAGAGATTCTTCTTCCATTCTGGTCTTCATTGAATCTGTCTTTGTTTCCAAAGGAAGCACCTTTACTATCGAACCAAACCCACTTAACTCCAGTAGCTTTATTTCAGTCCGCAGTGGTCGAGATGGACTTCATTTCTTATCGTCTTCGTGTTGAATGTCTGGAACAGTTTGCACTCCTCCAGTTTGTACAATCAAACCCGCCTGCATGTCGCTCGGAGACCTTGCAGGCCTTCGAGGTCCACCTCACCGGGGCCACCGTTGAGGGGGTGGGGGTGGGACGTTAAAGAACCCTGAACGAAGTCCAGTTCAGCTTCACGTGGAACCATCCTGAAGGATGAACCAATAAAAACAAAGGAAGACGAGATGTTGTTAAAGCTCAATATGAGAAATGAACTCATGATCAGGGTCACCGGACCAGAAACCAGGATCAACTAAAAGGTCTCGGATGTTTAGAGTTCCACTGAAGTTAGTCTTCATCCTCTGTGAAACAGTTACAAGAGGTATTTAAATCAAATCCTTCTCTCTGATTGGACCACTAAAAAGTGGGCGGGCTTAGAGTTTAGCAGCCTAGAGAGTCTTAAGTCCCGCCCCCTTCCCACGGTCACTTATTTCAGAAAAAATGATGTACAGCAGTCAACGTTTGAATTGAGCTCTTAATTACACAGAAGATGTTCGTACATTTAAAAGTCTGTCGTAGTGTCGTTTAGTTTTGTGGGAAACAGTCATCGAGGGTTAGGGCTAGCTAGCAAGACGAGCTAGCCAGCTAGGGTTAGAGTGAGCTTAGCTCTGTTCCAAATGTAACGTTCTCTTCCTGATGTGTTTCATCAGGAAGAGAACGAAGGAGTGAGACTTGTTGGTGAAAAAACATCCTGGTAACAAGTACAAGTATTTTCACAGTTTTATGACTTTCCTGACTTACAAAATGTTTTTTAAATGTACAAACATACATGTTAATTAATTCACGGCACAATTCAAATGAGATCAAATCTTAATTCGTCTCCCAATGTTGACGACTGGACACATTTATTCTGACGTCCAGTGATGGTCAACAGGAAGGGGCGGGGCTTCAGCTCTCTATACAGAGACACAGAGGACTGTTGACAGAGGTACATATTGTACTTTTACTCGTACAACGTTAATGCCTCCTCGTTGTGTAGCTCACTGCACATGCTCAGTAGAGGTTCTGTCCCCAGTGACCCCTCGATACAAACGGGTTTAGTGTTTCTACGAACATAAAAACCCTTTTCCTTCAGCAGTCTACAGCTTCAGCACACTGTCAACGTGAAGCTCTGGGATTGGCTGTCTGTCGGTGAAATGCAACCTGGGAGTTATAGTTTATTAATGAGATATTTTTTTAACCAAGTCCAGGATCCAGAGTGTCTGACATGGATCACAGAGTCCACATGTGGAGGCTCCAGCACTTTAACAAAGCCCAGAAATCATCCAATCGGTGAATGTCGATAAATGTGCCTCTTCCCCTCACCTGGCCGACAGGTGACGTCGTTTTGGATCCTCCTCCCTCTCTGCATACTCTGGCCCCGGTCCACCCGTCAGCATGCTGTCTGTCACGCAGCTGCATAAATCCAACGCCCCCTCTGTGAACCCTCCACCGGACTCGGCAGCCTCCAGTAACCAGCCGCCATATTTGCATGTTCCAGAGTTTTAGTGCCTCTAATATTGTGCGTCTTGCCAGAAGCCGCCATGTCAGCCGAGCCATGTTGTGTTTCTAGACTTAGTCGTGGTGTGTGGTGACTTCATAGTTGCTCATGTTGAGGATGAATATTCTGCTTTTACTCTGGTTGGATTCAGTGAAACTTCAAAAAACACTGTCGCTGTAGACAAAACTAGTTTTTACCTGTTTTCTTATTTTTCTTTCTAACTAAAAGCGTTTGTTGTCCCCTGAACCGTCTTCGTCTGGTGATTTACTGTTACTAGTACTACTTCAAGGTACTTCTACTTTACCTCCACTACATCTCAGAGGTACAAATAGTACTTTATACTGTACTACATCTAAGAGGTACATGTACTACATC